AGGGTGGTCAGCCAGCCGGACGTCTTGTACTCGGCGCTGCGGGAGAGGACGCGATGGCGCCGGCGGTCGATGTGCGGCAGGGCGGCCTCCCTCTTGGTCTTGTGGGCGACGTCCTGCTGCTGCTTGCTCCGGGTGAGGGCGTGGCGGATGGTGGCACGATGGTCGCCAGGGTGGAACGGAGCCTTGCCTTGGACGGACTTGGAGACCACCTTGGTGCTCGCGCGGGAAGCGGGGTAGGCGGCTGCGGCACGGTCGAGAGGGTCACGTATGCCGGTGCCGCCATGCCGGGCAGGCAGCAGCATCAGGTCGACCTCGGACGGCGTCACAGGGCCGCCGAGGAGGGCCGGCAGCAGCTCCTTGGCGATGGCCTCGCGGAGGGGGCTGAGAGCGCACTCGTCGGTGAGCACGACACGAAAGACGTAGTCCCACTCCATCTGCAGAGACCTCGTCATTGCCGCGTGGGCCGTGTGTGGGAAGTTGCGGGCAGCAGACGTGAGCGCGCGCACGCCGCGCACCCACCCCTCGACCTTCTCGCAGAGGAACGCCGCCCTTCCCCCCTCATCGCCCACGTAGCCGCCCAGGAACCTCTTGCCCGTGACGATCTGCACCCCCTCGGGCTCGAAGAGTTCCCTTGCGATCTGCTCGAGCTCGGGTTTGACGACGAGGAAGGACTTGGCGGTCTCTGGGTGATAGCCGTATGAGGGACCGATGCGACGCAGGGCTCGAAACCACACGAGGATGCCGTGAAGTTTGCCGAGCGCCGACGAGTCATCCGCATACCAGCACTGCCGCAGCGAAGCGCTAGATGAAGAGGCCGACGGGGCTGACGAGGCCGACAAACTCTCCTCCTCACCAACTCCAACACCTTCTACATCAGAACACACACATACACCCGCACCATCCCCCTCTGCTTCTGGTGGCGTGTCACTGGCTTCTTCTGGCCTCTCTTGCGCTTCTGATGGCGCGTTTTCGTTCTCGTCCTGCATCACCTCACCTTTTTGGACTTCTTTGACAGCGGCTCCAGTGCAGTCACAAAACCCTTGCCGTAGGACACCATTGAGTCACTCTACACCCGCCTCACGGCCTTTGAAGACAGATCTGCGCGTCCAGTGCGAGCTTGAAGTGCGATCGCTTTGTAGTGGAGGCGAACGGAGGGACACGGACGCGAGCAATGGTAAGCAGGGACAACAGGAGGCAGAAAAGCGAAAGAAAGAGTGAGAAAACCGAAAGAAATGTCTTGCCAATGTCTGCAGGAAGATCCAGGTGCCACTTGGAGGCTCGGGGGTCATTCTCGACTCAAACGCCAAAGTGGTAATATGCGTCAGAATAGAAATGTCACCGACTGTCTGTTTGGTGATCCGGGCTCCCTCTTGTCGGTTGATTCAGCCCGCGCCAAGGCCAAGGTGAAGGCCTCGCAGGGAGAGGCAATGAGTCGGCCAGGTGCATCGAGGCGGGGCCGGGCAGAGGGCCGCTCAGCGGACGGCAACAAGTGTCCTTTGCTTGGCTGTGTGTCGACGGGCTGCTGCTTTGAAAGCGACAGGCGTAAGCCAAACGCACACGTCAGTGAGTTTGCTTCGCGTCTGTGCGTTCTTTGCTTTGTGTCCATCTGACTGTCCTGTGTGTGAATTCACTCACGTACATAGATGTGGTCGAGTCGACGGGGGTGAAAGAGACCGGTAAGTGATGAACGACTGAGGCATGCACACAACCCCAGCACACGGTGTCCTCATGTACTCTCTGTTACTGTCTGTCTGTCTGCCCTGCCTTCAGCCACGCATACACCCGCAGACATGGACCACCAGGCAGGTGAGAAGCAGGGGCGATTCGCACGCACACCATACTCACTACTAACACATCGTCTCTTGCTGTGGTCACCTCAGGTAGCGGGCGCAAAGCGCAGCAGGTCGGGAGCCAGCAGCAGCCGGCGAAGAATGCCGGGGACGAGGACAGCGAGAAGACTGAATCGGACTCAGGTCAGAGCAGCCACGAGGGCATCACGACACACTCAGCAAGGCAGGCCTGCTGTCTGCTCGCTGTCCATCGATGGGTTTCCGTGTCATGCAGACGAGGGGAGCGCGAAAAGGGCACAGCCCAGCGGCGCACAATCCAGCGTCAAGATGGAAGAGCCACCAGAGCCGTCAGCTGACATCTGTACGAACAGCCAGGCAAAGGAACGTGTGTGGTGCGTGACATGACGTTGGTGTGGTTGTTGTTTGATGCATCAGATGTGGCTGACGAGCATGCCGAGCCGACGCCCTCGGGGACAGCTGACCAGCCGGTGCAGGGGGAGGGAGGGGCAGGGGCAAGTATTGAGGAGTACCACGCTCAAAACATAGAGGAAGGCTCAGGTGGGGAGCACACGCCACAACATGTCGAAGTGCGTCTGTCTGCACACACTTGTGATGTTTTGTCTGCACGTGCAGCTGCAGCTGCAGCTGCGGCCAGCGAGACGACCGAAGGCCGCGCCGGGACGAACGAAGGTACCAACACGGACACGCACGCACCACGGACGAGCAGAAGAAGGCTGTCCCTCACTGCTGCCTTTGGTGTGACAGCTGCTTCCACAAGCACCGCCCCAATGGCCGTCGACGGTCAGGCAGGACGAGGCACCAAACGGAAGGCCGGCCAGGCGCTGTTTTCCGATTGGCCACCTCACTTGGTGGGCAATCGAACCGGGAGCAAACCATACGGGCCAAAGCCAGAAGGGGTGAGTGAGGAAGTGAGGGAGATGACAAATAGCACATTTATTGGAGGCAGGCAGGTAGGGAGGTGATCTGATTCATGTTTGTGTGATTTGTGTGGAGTGTGTTGGTTCAGTACAGGTCGCTGTTTCTGAAAGACGTCCCTCGGACGGCCTCTGTAGATGACGTCAAGGCGGCACTGAGGTGCCCGGCAGGTGCGTGGAAAAACAAAGGCCATTACACGCCACACACACCAGATACATCTGTGTGTGTGATGACTTCACTCTGCAGACGACAAGGTCGAGGATATCCTCTTTTTTTTCGACGAACAGACCAACGAGGTGACGGAAATCACAGCACACAAGTCGGCACGTGGCTCGACCACCACCGCGTCTGCCTGTATGCGTCTCTTCACTCTCGCTCTCTCTCTCTCTCTCTCCCTCCCTCCCTCCCCGCGTGTGTACGTGTGTGTGTGTGTCAACAGCGCCATGATTTCGCTCTTGTCGACTTTGCGACCGAGGAGGACTGCATGGACGTCGGTCAAATCGATGATATCACCATCGGCGGACGTCGTATCTGGGTGGGTAGGTTGTCGCAACACCCATGTGTGAGCAATACAATATGTGTGGATCGGATTGGCTGCATTCGTTCATGCAGATGCAGTGGGCCAGTTTTCCAAAGCCTGCACCCCGGCGAGCCAATGGTCGAGCACATACACACGACACACGCACTTTGCCCGCCAGATGAGCCGCATACCATTCGGTGTGTGCATTCAGCGGCCACCTCAAAGGCGAAAGCGAAGGCTGCAGGTAAGGCCAAACCCAAGCCAAAGGCCGAAGCTGCCGCCGAGGGCATCTCAATGGCTGCCGCTCTCCGCACAGGTGCGCACAGTGCAGAGCGCTCTTGAGGACGCCTGCCCACCACAATGTGCTGTGCATGCCTCTCTCTACCTCCCTCTGTGTGTGTGTTTGTCAGGCGCCGTTGTCAAGTTTGAGGGCACTCGCAAGAGCTTTGCGGGTACACAAGGGGACATCCGGACCAGTGGGTGGGTGAATGGATGGATGGATGGATGTGTTGACGTGAACAGATGACGAGTGAGCTCCTGGTCAATGGCCTGGCAGACGGGAGAGCGCACCGTACCACATGTGGGGAAGCTCCTGTCGTGTAGCATGGTGTACAGCCACTTACCTGTATGCCACAGTGGGGCGGGGCGGGTGCAAGATGGTTTTTATCAACCGAACCACCTGTAGATTAATTACTGAATGAGCCACCTGTGTGCAGGTCCTTTGCCCCCTGGCTTGCGTGATCGTAGTGGAGGGAGGGACTCACTCGTATGTGTATCATTATTCATCAAATGCTGCTGATGTCATGTGATGTGTGTTTCTTTGTCCACACCAAACTCGAACACGGCACACAGAGGTCACCGCCCGCCGCCACGGCGCACACAAAACTTCACTTTCTATCATCGATCTGCCATCCATCCATCAGTCGACAAACCATTCATAAACGCACACACCACACGCAGTACTCACTGGAATGAACACAATTCATCCATTTGGTCACGGGGGCAGACACAGCCAGTCTGGCACTGGCAGACAGGCCATCCAGCCATGGAAACTTACACACGCAGCTGGCTGGTTGTGTGCATTTAAGGCCACCCCGCCCCGCCCCACCCACCCCGCCCCACCCAATTCCATACCATCCGACGCAATGCAACATGTCCATCGGCACCGAGCAAAAAAATGTCTAACGTCACTCACGCAGGTATCTGACCCACCCTGAGTCACTCAATCCCTCATGAGTCGACTGACAGTAGCTGCACGTCAAACACCAGATCGGCATTGGCCGGGATGACGGGCGGGTGGCCGGCTTTGCCATACCTGCACAGACAAACAGACAGACAGACAGACAGACCCAGACACCCGTTTGGCGGTCGGCCAGTTGGTCTCTGCTGCGTGTATGTGTATGTGTGTGTGTGTGTGTGTGTGTGTTCCGTACGCTAATCGTGAAGGGATCCAGAGCCGTCGCCTCTCGCCTATGAACATGCCCTTGACCCCGCTATCCACCCCCTTCAGCACCTCATTGCACCCTGCACCAACACACGCACACATCACACATGCAGTGGAGATGCGGTGCGTGTGTGTAGGTAGGTACCTAGTCTGAAGTCTGTGGTGCCGCCATCGAATTTCTTGCCGCCGATGTTGCCCACATAGCCCATGAAGCGGATCTTGACCTTGTTGCCCGCCCTGGCCATCTACACACACAACATAAACACAACACACACAGCGATGATGCGATGCCACCCGCAGCACGACACGATGGCCGGGCCGCCACCCATCCAGTGTGTGTGTGTGGTGACCTTGTGTCGTCCGCTCCTGAGCACTTCGTACGAGACGCCGCTGAGGAGCGCCCTGCGCACACCCTGGCCGAAGCCCTCATCGGCCTCCAGCGGATAGACTGAGCGAACGAACCACACGAGGACGACAGACAGACAGACAGACAGACAGGCAGGGGCAGAGCGTGGGGGAGGGCCTCTCTTCGCATGTCTGTGCGGCTGCCTGCACGTACTGCTGAGCTCTGGTTTGATGTGCACTCGTGGTGCGGCCTTGGGTGCCGCCGCCGAGGCCGAGGCCGAGGCCGAGGCCGAGGCCGCTGCTGCTGCTGCTGCACACAACACATCAAACAAAACAAGAGCAACGAGCAGGCAGAATTGTATGGGTACACAGACGTGCCTGCCGCAGCTCTTGTCGTCTGCGGCTGGATGGTACCTCGCGGCCTTTCCTCCTCCGATTCGTCCTCTTCCTCGTCGTCATCGTCCTCGTCATCATCGCTATCCTTGTTGTCTTCTTCCTCCTCGTCCATGGCAGGTGGCTTGGCCTTGGCCTTGGCCTTGGCCTTGGGGGCAGCTGCCCGCCACACACACAACGTAGTCAGTCAGTGTGGACCGAAAGCGCACATGTGGACTGACTGGTCTGCTGCTGTTCCCTCCCTGTGCCTACCTTCCATCTCGTCATCCTCATCTGCACAGCCAGTCAGTCAAACCGAGGCGACACACAGCCAGTGTAGTGGGTGAGGCGGTGCTCTCGCAGGTGTGTCGGTGTGGTGTGCTGTGGTGTGGTGTGCTTACCCTCTTCCTCGTCTTCGTCCTCGTCGCTGTCGATGACCATGGCGGTAGGAGGCTTCGGCTTGGCCTTGGGGACCGCAGCTGCACACACACACACACACATATACACTCACACAGGTGAGTGGGATGGTGTTCGGTGCTCCCACTGATGGTGTGCGCACGCGCGACTTACGTGCGCTCTCCTCTTCTTCCTCGTCGTCGTCATTCTCGTCCTCGTCTTCATCGCTGTCCACCACGACAGGGCGACCTCTGGCAGCGAGCGGCGCCGTCTTGGGTTTGGGTTTGGGTTTGGCCCTGCCCTTGGCGCGGGCAATACGCTCTGATGAGAGAAACAGCAGGGCAGTGCAGTGCAAGACAAGGCAGACAGAGTGTATGTGTGTCTGTCTGGTGTGTACGTGTGTGTGTGTGTGTGTGTCTGTGTTACCGTCTTCCTCCGAGTCGTCCTCGTCATCTTCCTCCTCCTCTTCGCTGTCCTCCTCCATGGCATCCTGGACAGTCAGCACAGTGAGGTGACGTGTGTATAGTGCGGTGTGGTGGAGTGGGTAGGCTGGTGGGTGGGAAGAGGTTGGCTCACTCACGTGTTCCTTCTTGACGCGCACTGGCCCCCACTCCGACACAACCTCCACACCCGGACCCTGGCCCTGGTCGTCGTCATCATCCTCATCCATCTCGTCCTCGTCTTCATCCTCATCTGCCAGCCAAGAACACAACACACACATTGACACCCACAACCAAGTGCCAGTGCTGCTGGTGTGGCTGCCTCTCTGCAGGGTGTGGTGTGCGCCTCTCTCTGGCTCACCATCGTCGTCGTCGTCGTCTTGTCGATTTTCCTGTTTGATGCCCAGGATCATCCGCTCCTCGATCACAGCTGCCTCTGCGTTGGTGATCTGCTCTCGCTTGGTGGGGGGCGCGTCGCGTACGACGCTGCAGCGACGACAGGCAGGCAGGCAGACACGGGGAAAGCGGTGATGGGTGCGGTATGGCATAGCTCTCTCTCTTTGTCGGTGTGTTGTTCTGTGCGCACGTCTCCATGCATCCCAGCAGGTCGATTTGGGTGTCGGCCGAGGGACCCTCACACGTCAACTCCATCTTCTCTGCACCACACACACACACAGCCGACATGTGTGTCCATGTCACTCCATCGCGCTGCTCTGGGGTGTGCGAGTGCCAGCCGCACCGCCGCTCGCTACAGAGATGCATGTGGCCATAGGCTGGTCTTTGGTGAGCGTCAGGACACGCATGAAGGGGTCGCCTGTCTCTGCCCTGAGCAGCAGGGTGCCGCGCGAACCCTTCTTGAGGCATGCATGCCTGACACAGAGATCCAGCAACCACAGCCACGACCACAGTGTCACGCGTCTGTGCTGTGAGCAAGCACGGCAGCATCTGTGGCTTCGCTCACTTGATGGCGAGGTTTCGTCCGTTGAAGGTGTGGATGTTGCGCTTGCCCTTCTGGACGTTGTCGGCTGCACACACACACCAACCAACGAGGCATGCACCATTGTGTGGATGCGTCGTCATCCATCTTGCTGACCCCAAAACGCCTTCGGCATTTTGACAACCCCCGGTAAGGAACGCAAGAGAGCGGTTTCACGGAATGCAGCTGCAGCGGTTTCAGGCAGCACCCTAGATGGCCTGACGGCCAAATCCCCTGTCGGTCTGTCCAACATGAAACAGGCACCCTAACATGCAACCCGGACACGCAACACGCAGCACGCAGAGGGCAGATGCAGCAGAGAGGAGGATATGCAATGCGCTGCGAACGACGGCCACATACAAGCAGGCACACAGCGTCGCACACACGCCACCCCAGCAGCAGCTTGAAGGCGGCGTGCGTGCGTGCGTCAGGCACCATGACTCCATACGTAGATACCGCCCATCCCCAGGTGGCCAGCCAGTGCAGATCGCCTAGTCAGACACAAACACGCCCTTATAACAACCACGCACGGAGTGCTGGGGGTGCATGAGAGCGCACCGCCGCCCTCTCCAGGGCGGAGAGGGGCGGCAGGTGGCCGACCCACAGACACCCCCAGTGCACGCCCATACACATATCACCGCCGGGATAAGTAGGGAGGTGCGGCAGCTCGCGCTGAGGAGGACGATCGAATGTGTGGCCCTTTTGTGCTTCTTTCTGCTGTGTGGCTGCAGATCTGGACCTACAGTGCTTCAGCAGCCATTGACAAATATTCTCGTCAAGCTTCGAGCAGAAACAAGAGCAGAAAAGCTGCCAAGTCAAGAGAGCGGTGCTCTTGTTTCTGCTCCAACAGACATCGGTTGCACCAACATGAGACCTCTCCGTGTCATGGCCCAGGACGGCGTCGATGCGGGTGTCATTGCAAAGGATGGTGACTCGGCTTGCCCGAAGGCGCAGTTTGAGGCGGCGTGGGCGCTGGCCAACATTTTGTCGGCAAATCGGAGCAGACGCCCGTCGTCGAGGCTGGCGCCATCCCGCCTCTCCTACAGCTGCTGTCGTCACCTGACGATGATGTTCGGTACCAGGCCAAACATCGCGGGAGATGGACAAGGTCCCCGGGCGGCGTGCATCCACTAATCAGCCACCGGCGCGAGAGCACGGAAGAGGCGATCGTGAGCACCGCAACCTGACGCTATCCAACCTCTGCCAGTGGGTGTCGCTGTCGGTGCCAGTGGTGGCAGAGCTCATCAAGACGCCTGAACAAGACGCTGCGGTGCTGATTGACGTGTGCTGGGCGGTGGTGCATGTTGGGATACCGTGTGGCTGCGCCACAGTGCTGATTTCGGTGCTGCGGCGGTTGGCTCATGGGCAGCCGTCAGTGCGTCGGAAGAGAAAAAGGAATTATGGCTTGGCGCTAGAAAGGCTGAAGTTCCGCAGGCGATAGGTACATGATAGACGATGGTCTGCGTGTGTGGTTTGTGCCGGCGCGTTCGTCCGTGAAATGGTATGTCGTTACTTGCAAGTTGGTGTGGCGCGATAGTACTCATCGGCTGCAGTCTACCAACATAAGACGTTTATGGCCGTCATTGTTCACTTCAGTCTCAGACCGTCACTTTAGTGTCGACCGTTCCTGCCTTGTTCCTCCGTCTTGCGCTGCCCGTCGGTGAGGCAGCTGCTGCAAGAGCTTTCCCCCTTGCAGCAGTCACCTCTCCACGAGCGGTTATAACACAAGGAGGGCGAGCAAGACGCAGTCGTGTGACCTAACCGTATCTCACTGATGTGTCTTATCTTAGTGCAATCGACTCGTGCGTGCGTGTGGTGCATGTGGCTGCCTGTTGGTTGTCTCCCTTTCCATCGCTCTATTCACAAGCAAGAATCAATCAAGGCAGCGCCACACCCGCCCGCCCCTCTCCCTCCCTCTCTATCAAAACCGCACGCACGACACACCCCCACACACGTATACACCCTCCCTCACACGCCCCCTCTCTTTCCCACCCTCAATCCCACGCGGCATTCCCATGTGTGAACGGGCAGGGCACATCAGGCAAATGGCGAAAAATGCCAGCAGAAGGAGGACAGAAAAGCGGAAAAGAGCACTGAGTGTGTGTTTAGACAGAGTGTGTGCGTAGGGTGGTGACAGCAGATGGATGGATGGATGGACTCTATCGTCGGTAAAACACCCGCAACAGCTGGAGGACCGCGGCTATGCGGCTATCTAGCTATGGACAGAGCGACGGACAGACAGACAGACAGAAAGGCAGACAGGCAGACAGGCAGGCAGGCAGGCATGTGCAAAACAAGAGCAGGGGTGGGGTGTCATGTGCCCCTTTGAACTGCGCGTACGGCCATCGGCAAACTCTCACACATGGTCATCATTGGGAAAAACAGTCACACCATCGAGAGAAGAACACCAAGAGCCTCAGACGAAGGGGTTTCCCCCTGTCAGCCACCTTTGTCCCTCCCTGCATCATCGACCGCATTGCCCCCACGCACTGGTGAGTTTCGGCAGAAACCGAACACACCAGAGCGTGACGGCAGTGCGGTGGATGATGCAGGGAGGGACGTCATTGACGAGATCAAGATTCAATGTTTGTCCAGTACCCCCCACAACGAAATCGGACGATGCACATCCACTCAGCCACACAAACAAACACAATTAACATCATGATGGATGTGCGGGGGAAAAATCGCCGCAGCGGGCCATATGAGAAAAATGAACGAATGGATGAGCTCGCCTCTGTGTGACATGGTGACGTGACGTGATCTGGCATGCATGGATGCAGTGTGCTCACTCACGAGTGAGTGTCCTTGTTCGCTCTCGCGCTTTTCTTCCGAGGCAAGAAAAATGGAAATGGTCGATGTGTGTCGCACGCACATTGCTGCGCCTGTGTGTGCCCACCATTTGGGCACACACAGGCATTGCACACGCCAGCCACGCCCTCACCACGGCATGGAATGGAAGCACCTCCATCCATCCATCCAGAAAGCATTAAAGAAAAATGTGAGACTGGTGTGTGGTTTGCTTGGGGAGGGAGGGTCAATAGCGGAGGGAGAAGGGTCAAGGGAGAAGGGTCAATAGGGGAGGGTCAAGGGTCAAGGTTTGTTGCTTCCTGGCCGACGTCAGAGCAGACACACAACCCTCTGCCCCGCCAGCCCTCCCCCACCACCCCCTCCCTCTCTGTTCTGTCTTTCTCTCTGACAGACAGACAGACAGACACACGTACACATGAAGCAAAAATAGACATGTTTCTCGCTTCTTATGGGAGTAGGTCGTCAGGGGCGCCCTGCCCCCGACCAGACTCGCAGGCACCGCACACACACAGCACGCACAGGCACAAACACATGCATAGACACGACGAAAGGGGGCTTCACGAATACACAAAACAGAAACGGCCAAGGTATGCACACAAACACGCAGGGGAGCAGGCAAGCAGGCAGACACACAGACAGGCAGACACACAGACAGGCAGACAGGCAGGCAGGCAGGCACACAATCGCGAACACTCGCGCATTGTGTTGAAAAAGTGTCAAGGACACCTCAGGCGTTCGTCCCTCTCTTTGTGGGCTCTGGCAAAACTAGGCAGCCAGGCAGACAGGACAGGCAGGCATCCATCCATCCATCTATCCGTCGCGTAAACCACCAGCAGCCAGCCGTGAAGTGGAAATAAGCAAGAGCGGGCACATACACATGCCGCCGCAAAAATCCAACGACCAGCAGCGGAGAGTCGGGGGTGTAGAGGAGACATTGCAGTCAGTGGAGTGGAGAGTATCACCGCCTACCACACGTGAATGCAGTGCGTCGTGTGCAATGGCTTTGTGTGGGTGGATGGATGGATGGATGTGGGTGTGAACAAAGTGGTGGGCATCGACGTGATGGAGAGAAATAGCGGTGGAGGGAAAGGTGAGATGGATGCGGCGCCGAAACGGCAGGCAATTGGACACAACAGGCAGGCAGGCAGGCATCAAAATCCCTATCGAGGACACTTAAACACCGATGATGCACGCAGGACCAGACAGACAGACAGACAGGCAGGCAGATTGACAGACAGGCGAGCAACCAAGACAAGAGTATCATCTCGCGTCAGAGGTCGGCAAACGACACGCAGTATGCAATCCACCGAAATGCAAAACTGCACGAGGTGAGGTGAGGTGAGGTCACTTCTGCTCTCTGCACACACACACACACACACACACCTCCTGTACTTACTCTCTCTACACACACACGCACCCCATGCCAACACCCCACAGACACACACATACACAACCAACCAACCAATCAACCGACCAATCAATCACGCCCTGCCCCCTCTCGCTCCGCTCCCTCTCGCTCGCACTCCTTCCTGTAAAAAGCCGCTGTCACTTCCCTCCCATCCTCTCTCTCTGTCTGTGTTTTGTACATATCTACCCATACAAACAGACAACGAGCCAGACAGACAGATAGACAGGCAGACAGCCGTGACGTTAAAAAGACGGGAGGCGCTCTCGGACAGACAGACACGTAAAACTACTCACCCACCCCACACTCGCGCGTCGGCCAGCCAGCCATACGAAACACAGCAGCCATTCTGCGTGTCCTTCGAGCGATCCTTCATCAAAAACTCCATCCATCCATCCATCCACTGGCATCCGCCCGCCCAAACTCCCAAAGGCCCGCTCGCCGCCTGCACGTCCGAAGCAGACAGAAATTCACACATACATACATACCAGGAAGGCATCGTCGAATTGGTGGCTTGCTCTGTGATGTTTGTGCAGCGCGACAACCGTTGCGCTGCACTCCCACACACACACACGCACGCTCACACGCGCATCGGTCTACGGAGAGAATGTACAATTACAAACAAACGGGCAGCCAGGCTCCCTCAGACGTACAGAGCAATCAGCCAGTCAGTCAGGTTGGTATACACGGCCCCCTCGCACACACGAGTGTGTCCGTCTCCCTCGCAGCAGCCAGCCGGAGTACAAAGTTTACAGACAAATGCAGCCAGCAGCAAGGATCGGATCACCGGCACGCATCATTCACAGAAACAGAAACAAACAGACAGACAGCAAAACACCACCGAACATCCATCAAAATGAATGAAAAAGCCGGCACCATATTATTATCACACCACACCATTTCACCCCGCCCTCACAGCAGCCACCCCACCCCACCAAGGCACCCACCCCCACCGTGACAGCCAGCCGCCCGATCTTGCCGAAAGGCACTCTACCCCACTACACACCCCCATCCCTCCCCTCCCCTCTTCTCCCCTCTCTCTTTCTCTCCCTCGCTGTGTACACACACAAACATGGTCACCCGGTCGCACATGGCAAAAATCCAGCTACCTCTCTCTCTCTCTCTCTCTCTCTGTCCCCCTCTCTCTTTGAACCAACGAAGTCATTCACCGATTGATTCAGCCGTCTGCCAGCAATGGCGACCGCCAGACGCTGCTGCCCCTGTTGTCCATGAGTGGCGACATGAGCGGGCTGACGCCCCTCTGCGGGAAGAGAGAGTAGGTGGGGCTGTCGCGCGAGGGACACGGGAGACTGATCGAGATGGACCGCTCGATGGGCCCCTCAGGCAGTGTGCTTGACGTGTCCGAACGACCCAGCCCAGCACTGAGATGCCACCACACAACACAAACACACCGACGACGTGCATTTCTAAAGCCCTCCTAGATGTGAATATTGGCCTTACCTCTCCCCCGTCTGTATTTTGTCCAGCAGCGACTTGCCCCCTCCCTCCGTCCCCCCGGTGCCGCCAATGTCGCCCCCGCTGCTGGTGGTGCTGCCGTTGGGCGTCTGTGTGTGGATGGGCAACTGCTCGATGGACGGCGACATGCCCGATGTGGTGGAGGTGGTCGTCATGGTGGGCGAGCAGTCCACATACGGCGGGGGACGCTTGTTGCTGGCAAGGGGGTGGCGCGACGGCGGCAACACGGCACTGATAATGCAAGACAAGACGATTGCTGGACGAGGGGGTCCCTCCATGTGTGAGTGTGTGTCGGTGTGGACTGACCTTGGCAGCAGCAGGGGGGAGGTCTTCCCCTGTGTCTGGGTGTCGTTGTCCCCCTCGCCGTTCTCGAATATCTGCCGTATCGCATGCGGCACGTTCTGGCGACCCACACCATCGTCCGCCATCATGGCCCCCGCGTCGCCCCCACTCATCGACCGCTCTATCACGTCAGACAGATCCGACTCGTGACCCAGCGTCAGAGAAGACATACCGCTGCTAAAGACGAGGGAAAAGGAGAGGACATGTGAATCCATCCATCCATCCATCCGTGTGTGGACGTACTCTGGTGGGTGTGGCGGGGGCGGGGGCTGGCGGTCAAACACGCCATGGCCGACCTTCTTGCTGCCGTAGCCGAACGCACTGTACTGGTCATGGTGGTCTGGTGGCGGGGGAGGGGGCGGAGGTGGGGGGGGAGGGGGGGCCACGCTATTGTTGTTGTTGTCCATGTAGATCTGCTCGGCCGCCGCTGCTGCTACCGTGAAGGGGGTAGACGATAGCTTGCCCGGGCGAGGTAGCCTGAGGAAGAAGCCGGGAGGAGTAGGTTTTTGTGGGTGTAGGCGTATGGGCGGCTGTGTTGTGTCTTACAGCTTTTTCGGCCTGAGTTGGTCGACGCCATGCGCGTGTCTGCATGCAAGGCCCTGGCAGCAGTGGCCACGCTTCCAGAACACCTGCCAGATACACACGCATCCCCATGCAATACATCCACAGGCGTATGTCGATCGTTGATGAGCCGCGCGCAGCGCGTCTGTCTGTCTGTCTGTCATGTGTGTGTGTGTGTGACCGCCCTTACGCATAGAGATGTCTTGTAGAAGTCATCAGTATAGCGAAGGTCCTCGATACCATGGGCAAACCGACAGTCGTGGTCCTGGCACTGGCCGCGCATGTACAGGTCGCACAGCTTGGTCTGCATCCACCATCCATCAGACACGTACACATGGTCGACGGATGAATATGGGTGGGTGCTGCGTCGTTGTGTCATCCTCTGACCTTCCGCAGATCGGGCTTGAAGCGCAGTTCACTCTGCCCATGAGCCTGACCACACACACACACGCGTGCACACACTCGCAGCAATCAGACCAGCTGCATGATGCCCCTCCCCTCTCTCTCCTGCGTGTGTGCTCACGAATTGACAGTGGCGGGCCTTGAGGCACTTCTTGCCCGCCAACCAATACCTGACACAAACCATTGAGGCGCCAGCCACCGCATACAACGGACATGGATCCCATCAGCAGCCACCCAACACCATTGCAGCCTCTCACTTGCAGAGAGATGTCTTGTGGTACTGGGACACTTCCCTGACTTCCCTGGCCTGCAGCGTCATCATGCTACCGACACGCGCCTTCGCCCTGCACACAAACCAAGCACACGCAGAGAAGATGTCGCGGGGCCGCTGACGCATGTGGCGAAAACGGTGGCTTACGAGGTGGCAGGTGAGTCGGGCTTCCTCTTGGCAGCTCCCCCTCGACGCCAGCGACGCCACCCCGTCAGCTAAGGGTCCTCAAATGAGGCGCTTCTGTTCTGCATGGCACACACAACGAACACGGAGCCCAACAGCCGTCTGAGTTTCACGCAGGATGGTCCTCATATATCATGCACCTGGGCCGGAGGGGAGGGGAGGCAGAAAAATTGAGCTCGCATGATTCTCGGCGTGCACTGGGGGTGTCTGCGGGTCGGCCACCTGCCGCCCCTCTCCGCCCTGGAGAGGGCGGCGGTGCGCTCTCATGCACCCCCAGCACTCCGTGCGTGGTT